AACCCAAGCCTCTCCTTTCTGAGCAGTCAAGCTCAGCTTATGCCCCCACATCAAATGGCAGCCAAACACAGAAGTCCTTTGAAGAAGTTCAGGGATGCTTTAACATGGAAGTAACATGCTTACAATAAAGCCGGAGCACATTGAAAAAAGCAAGCATCCGTGAAAAAGCCATTTCTAACACTAGTCGCCCAGGTTTTATTAAAATCTTTTCAACCATCCTTTCAGAGAAACTGATAATTCAAAAGACGGGGGTAGATTTGCAGTCTATTTAAATGTCACTGGAGGGAAAGAAGATTAAAGAGAACAAATCCTTGCCTACTTCTATTTATCTCAAAGAAAAACTGCTATGGTTTTTGAATGTGATAAACAAGGAAACTGTCAACAGCCGCTAAAGTGGAAGGGGGAAAAAACCATTCTCAGTTACCTTCTGCTAGCCATTTCTTTTGTGCGTGGAACAAACCAACGGCAACGCAACGCAAAAGGTCCATGTTCTGTTTGTTACAGGGCATCTGTGAACTAACTATATTCAGACATGGTATGAAGGCTGCTGCTACTTCTTCTGATTTATTAGAGAAATGCCTGACATGATTTTGGGTGAAATGTATATGGCTTGGACCTCTTCAGTCCATCTCCTCATAGAGGTACACCTGATCTCCTTATTTTGACCCATAGTACTTAAATGGGAACCCTTTTTTTTTTTTTTTTTTTGGTAAGCCATCACAAGATACTAGGAGTGGATGGGTTAGAAAATCTTAATAAATACATAAATAGCCTTTTGAGAACTGAAATCTATTTGCATACCCCCACCACTTCATTTGCATAGGACCTAGCCAGGATTGTGTTTCTTAGTCAAACATGCAGGAATCTTGGAATATTTGGGGATATTTGAGGAATTTGATCTTTATGAATGCCAATATGAACTAAACAGATCCACATCTCTCAGACCAAGGTGCAGATCAGAACTTTGCTATCTGCTAGCTTTTGTGCATCTCGAATGTTCTGACACGGCTCTTGACTCATATGAAAGTGCATTGTAAGGAAAAAAATCATTTAGAAATGCTCATTTAGGCATCTGCTTAAATAATGCGGAAACAGGAGAAAACAGACCGGAGCCACAAAAGTGACACAGACTGGATGAATAGACTAACTGATTGATCCTGTCCTTGGGAACTGGCTTGAATATGTATCAGGGGCGATCAGAAAGTGTGTCTCCAGATGTTCTGAACTTCCATTCCTAGCATTCCTGGCTGTTTGCCATACTGGCAGGATCTTCCAGGAGCTGAAGTCCAAAACATCTGGGGATCAAGTGACTGCTCATCCCTGAGCTGACGCCAGCATTGCAAGCAAATATACTGCTTCATCAGCTGCCTCACCCCCTGGTTAGAGCCGAGCATGTCCCATGTTGAAAAAGACCACCATTTCCAATACCTCCAGTACAACCTACTCCCACCCTGTATCTCTTCCACATGAGTCACCAAACCGAGTTTTTGCTGAAGTTTCCCAGTGTGGTCTCATGAAGTAACGCCTCCAAACAATTTGTGCATTTTGCCTGCAAAATTTGGGTTATTGCCAGCCGCTTAATGAGCTACACCTTGCCTCCAGTCTGAGCCAGTCCACATACTTCTGACATCTAGCAGGCAGCCTTTTGGAATAAAACATCTCTAAACTTCAACTACTGAGCCCACTAAGCAACAACCTGAACAGAATGGCTGGATATAAATAGAGGATGAGGGAAGCAAGAAAGGGAACAGCATTCGATTTAATGGCAACTGAAGGATATTAAAGGGGAAGAATAGGATGTTCTCTTAACCAGTGCCGGAAGCTTATTCAGCAGCAGAACAGTCTTTGCATTACGGTAGCAGCATTCCCGTTCTTTTCAGAGGCATCGTGGTAACCTATGTGTCACTTGCGATGCCTCATCTTATGTAAACACCCACCCAGCAGCATTTTGTGAGGAGCTTAATTGTAGGGACCTGGCATATTGTACAACCACACAACTACAGACACAGCAGGTACTTGGCACAGAAGTCAGCAGTCTAAGAATCTCAGCATTCATTCGAAAAAGGCAATGCCCTCGCAGCATTCTACATGGATGATATGAAAATACTGCTTTGCAAAATTTCAGTAGAGGACGTTGCAAGATTTCCAGCAATTCCAGGTCAACTTTCAGGGCTAGTGGATTGTGCCAGGATGATGTCCTAGCACAACTAGACTGAAGTCTGCAGAACAAGCACGTGCGTGTAATCAACATTGTTTATACAAGATACTGAACTATTCAGTTTTTCTTGGTGTGTGATTTATGTCACCATGCAGAATAATTCTGATCTTATTTTTCTCCAGCAGTTTATGAAACATGTTGGCCACGCTTGGGGGAACTCCTTCATTTAGGGCACAAGCTTTGTAAGGTGGGGCTTAATGATGAAGAAACATTCATCCTATGTTCCATGTGCCCCCACAGCATTCGCCCTTGATGGTCCTGCACCCACAACTGCATCCCGAGTGGATCAATTCTAGAGTAAATCCTTGCACCAAATCACACCTACTTTTGCTTCCCACTGTGTCAAGTCTGGTGTATGAGAAGCACCCTTTGCAGATAAAGCTCTAGGGCACAATCCTGCGCAGGTTTAGAAAGAAAAAATGCCACCTTTTCCCAGCATGTCCCAACCATCATTGCTGGCTGGTGCATGCTGGGAGCCATGCAGTTTTTCTCTATCTTGACATGTATAGGGTTATGTTCTTGGTCAACCATGATGTGATTCTCTGCCTGGAACATGTCAGTTATCCTCTGGTTTATTCGCTGAATGACTTCTATCTGAGTTAAGGCTGCCCGTGATCTGATCAAGCTTACAGCTGGGTTGAAACCTAGCAGAATCCGACCCTCTTCAGTTCATGTGCTTTGCTCTCATGCTCAGCCCGGTATTGGAAAGCAAGCTGAGCCAAGAGAAAGTCTGCAGGTCCTTGCAGAACACCAGCAACCCTCCCCCATGTCAGGTGCAACAGCACAAGCAGCTGCTCCAGGTAGCGCTGAGGGAAGATGCTGCTGGCGGCAAGGTGGGGTGCCGTTCCTGGCAATCCCCACACAACCGGTCTTCTTCCTCACCAGTTGCCGCAGAATAAAATGGCTGCTGCAGGTGTCAAGCAAGGGGGGCACTGCATGTGCAGCTCAGGGCACTCGACTGCTGGTGGATACCTGGAGAATCCTGGGCTTGCTCACCGGGAGCCCAGACTCGGAGCCACTGCAAAGTGGATCGGCGGCCAGGAAGAGGAGCCCAGGGAACCCAACGGCTTCTCAGCCCCAGGATGGACTCTTCCACACCCCAAGCAAGCTTCCCATCGCAATACCTTCAGCAACACACTGTGATCCTACCTATGGTTTTGCAAGCCGGCAGATGCCGAAACGCTTGTTCTACTACACCCTTCTCTTATCAGCGCGTAACATCTTCACATACTCTGCTCCGATTAATGAAGATTATTGTCTACCTGGAACATTTTGTCCTGTACAAAACGCACTTAGAGAAGCTTCTAATCTTCAAAGGCATTTCAGTCTTAAAAACTGACCCAAGCTGCAACAGTTCTTGGATTTGCACGTATGGCCCAGAGTATGGACTGAAGGCAGGTAAGGCCTCTGCTATGTTGAAGCTAAGCAGGTATGGGACTGGACTGAGCTTGGAGGGGAGACCCCTGGGAACCACCTTGAGTTCCAGAATGGGAGAAAGGTGAGGAATAAACACAATAAATGAATAAAGTACGTTACGTGGTAGATAGCATGACTAATGTATAATGTACGCTTTCTGTGACACATAATTTCATACAGCCAAACCAGGTTATCCCAGAACTAATTTGGTACAATGGATATTTAGAGCTAATAGCGCAAGGGTGACCAAGGAACAAGCGAGCAGAAAAGTCTTCTTCTGGTTTTTGCATGATGGCATCACCATCATCCAACTGCTAACCAATCCCCATGCTGTTATCAACTTTCCCTAACTGCTGATGTTTCAGCATTTGATGGCTTACACCGAATGGCTTTGTGGAAACAGACTGTGTCTGAACTGCTATGAAGGTTTCATCTGCATTGCTCGACATATAGCAACACACAGATGCCTTGCGGCAAGTCGATCCATCTGTCCATCTAGCCAAGTGTTATCTGCTCTGATTGCTCTTCTGGGTCTCAGCAAGGCATCTTCCGCATCACATCTAAAGTATAGCATTCGTATCTGAGGGTCATCATGGGATGCATGAGGAAAACACCAACTGTGCACCTGTCCTTTTGTCTCTCTTAAGATACAATCCTATGTATACTTAAGACAGAAAAAGGTCCCACAACATATTGGCTGAGAAATGCCGGGAGAGGGAGGACTTTTTCCTGTCTAAGCAGGCATAACGTCTGCTTCTCTCCAAATACAGCATTTCAAGCTAGAATGCTCAGGCCGGGAATGTGAGCTAAATGAAGGAGAGGAGTGCTCGCAATCCATTTCTGAAATGCCAAGGGGAATGTGCTAGATCAACAAAATAGCTGGTGAGAACCAGACCTCCTCTAGTTCAGGGGGAGATGCTAGAGGACAAGGAATGGCAGGGCAGGAGAGGGGTGGGTTCATCAGTTCAGAGGGTCACGATCAAGCCAAATGTGTGGACCAATTAAGTAACTTCCAGTAGTCCTGCTGAGCCACCCACATGCATCATGAACCTCAGTGAGGATGGAGCCACCCCCATTTGGAGAGGAAGGGAAGAGAGGGATTCCGTTTGGAATCAGCTCCTGAGATAGGCAAGAGGAGCCTCCACCAACCAGAGACGCAGCTACTTTGAGAGATGCTACTTGTTGGCAACTTTATTACTACATGCTCTGTATTGCAAAGCCAGGCAAGCTCAAGAAAGGTATTTTAGAAGCCTTTCGCCCTGAACTGCCTGCCGCACAACACCGAAGATTACGCCCTTAGCTGCTTAAACAAGGACAGCAGCAGCATCTTATACCAAACTTGGGTTACGTTTTTGTGCAGACTTACCTCACCGGAGCTTTGAAGTTGTTCAGAAGTGTCTTTTGGAGAAAGGAATGCGCTCTGATCTGTCCTACAAAATAAAAATAAGGGTGGTGGAGAGAGAATCGCTGCATTTTCCGAGATGCCCATGTCAGCATGCTATACAGTCACTGCTCTGGTGAAATCCCATTACACTGGATTTATTAAAATGTATTAAAATTTCACCATTTTGTATAACTTGCTAAAATACAGAACAGAGGAGTGGGACTCACACAGGGGAACATAACATGGTTGTTAATAACACTTGAATTTCCATTGCTGCAATATATTCCTTTCAATGTACAGTGATGGCCACAATCATTAATACTTGTGTATACAAATACATGGTTCTGTTAACAGATTATTAAACATCTAAGTCAGACTTCCCTGCCCTGGTGCCCTCCAAATGTTTTGTCCTATCAGTTATATCAGCTGCACCACCATCAGGGGCCAGCATGATAGGAGATGTAGTCTGGAAACTACAGCTGCACTGAAACTTGGATGGTGCCGGGTTGGGGAAGGCTGGGCTAAAGAGACAACACAGAACTGTAAGCAAGAAGCAGCATGAACTGGGGGATCTGTGTGTGCATGTACAGATGCAACATGCATGTTTTCAATTCAGTTTCATTAAAAATTGAGTTCTGCTTCAAAGCCAGAAAATGGTCATCTGCACCATCGGACTGGCGTGCACCAGAGTTTGAAAAAAAAATACGGATCTGATCTATAGTAGATTTACTCTGAAATATCATCACTCTCACTGGACACATTTGCATGTCACACCAATTCATGCTTTCAATAAGGCACAGCGGATTGGCTGTTAGGCAAATGACCCAGGGCGAGTACAACCCACAGCTTAACCATCGGTTGTGGGCTTCCCTTCAGCCCTCCTGCAGATATCACAGGGACCAGGGCCAGATGTCTCCACACTCCCTGCCCTGATCCTGAGCCAGTCACTTCTCAGCAGGACTTTTCAGTGGTAGGCCCTGCTGACATCCTTCCAAGAGAGGTTTGTCTAGCCCCTACTTTATTTACTTTTTTGTATCAGGCAAAGAAAGGCCTTTTGAGCCTTGCATGCTTTCAATTTTACTATTCATTTAAAAGTTCAGCTACCTTTTAAAGTTGGTCTGACCTTCAAGGTTATTTCAGTGATCTTTTTAGTAACAATTGCCTTTAACGTTGAGTCATCACGACTGTAAATTCTGTTTCTGCCGTTGTTTTTCATTTTTGACTGCTGTGACCTGGGCTACATAGACACACGCACACTCAGAGTGGTTCCCCAAATAAAATAACAAAATGCGATCGAACCAATCCATACAATAATTACAGTAAATTATTTCACCAGAAATAGATTGTGAGTAGTCGGACGGTACATAAAAGCTTTAAATAAATAATTAAATAATAGCCAGCAATATTAGTAGTCAGGAAATTGTCTGGAAAACATAGTCCTGACCTGCTTAGGGTCTTATTTTATTTATTTATTTATATTTTTCAATGTATATCCTGCCTTTTTCCTACAAAGGGCCCAAGGCAGTTTACATCATTCTCCTCCTCCATCTTATCCCCACCACAACCACCACCCTGTGAGGTAGGTTGGGCTGAGAGTCTGTGACTGGCCCAAAGGCACCCAGTGGGCTCCATGGCTGAGCGGGGACTCGAACCCGGATCGCCTGAGTCCCAGTCCCGTGCTCTTCACCACTGCACCACACTGGCTCTCAGTTATGAACCAGCAACAGTATCCTGCACATGGCTTGCTCACTGACTGGTTGCCAGTGCAGAGCTTCCAACAGAAGACTACATGTACACAGTAATAAGCTCCACTGTGTGATCACACACCACACAAGCTGCAGCTTCCGAATTAATCTCAAAGGCAGATCCACATAAAGTGCCTCGTATTGATTTTGCCATTTCATTTGGTAATTATGTGCGTTATCCTGAGAGCTCTGCCTTTGGGGAGACCCCTAAGTGCCATAAAGACTAATCATTCTTCAACGATTCCAACAAGGTTTGCTGGGGGGGATTGTGTATGTCGCGCTCAATATTTTAAAAGGTGAGCAGTCTATTTGGATAATCAGAGGTGGGACAAGACCTGAAGTGTGTAATTATTTGTAAGGCAAGTTGCAAAGCTGGGTCCACCCCACCGCCACCCTCATATCATATTACTACAGGTAAGGAATCCACTGCGAGATTGTTCAGAATTGTATGCCTGTCTTTAGCTCTAGTTTTCTGATCTCCACTGCAGATGTGCCAGGGCCAAAAACTATGCAGTGCCACGCAATTCGCAATGGTGGGACTGGATTTTGGGGGCAAGCAGCAAGCACAGGCCCCCAACGGGCAGGGAGAGCTCGTAACACTTGGATCATCTCTGAGTCCAGCCTGCCCAGGACCCTTTGCGCCTGCGGTTTGTATTAGGAAGAGGCCAGCCACTCTTCTGGCAGCAGCGAACAGCAGGCCCCATGCCAACCGACTTGGATGGGAACCACAAAGCGAGCAGAACATTAAAGCCCTGAACCCTGCCCAGGGTCTGATTCAGACTGGGGGCCTGCACCTGTTTTTTTACTCTTTCTTTTAAAAAAACCATGCAATTGCTGATTGCATAATTGGTCTAGTGTGGTTTCGCTGTTAGTATGCCTTGTAATTCTGGAATTTGATCCAACCCATATTCAGAACAGTTATGGCATGTTATACAAGATAGCAGAAACACCAGATAGTTCTCCAAATAAACAAGGGATCTTTTCCCATTTGGTCAAAGGCAGCTGTTATTAATAGTTACTAACTGAGCAAAACAAAAAGGTCAGTGGCCCAAGATGCTTTTTAATAGGAAAGTGCCCGTCGGTCGCACAGCTGATGTTTATTTTTACCCTAGAAGGAAAATTACTTCCATTGGCTTCATTTTTGATTGAAAATAATAAACATCATTTTTGAAAAGATCACCGAGTTCACCCTTCTTTAATTCAGAGGTTGGTTTACCTTAATACAGGATTTTCATTTCTCTTTCCTTCTGTCTAACACACCATACATAATGCTGTAATGAAACAGACTTATGACACACCAGCCATGTAAAGCAGCCCAGCAGGGGCTTAATAAACCTCTGCTTTTTTCCTGCAGTTTTATTTTTCAGGCTTGCCTGAAAAAGACAGTGAGGGGAGGGTACCCAAGAGAGCACAGAAAATGTGTGGGCTGCATAAGGCTGGATGGATCAGAAGTTACACCAACCTGTAACAGAGGGAGTACCCTTGATGTACTGTTAAACAGAAATGGAAGAATGTGTTTCCTCGGAAGGGAATACCTGGGTTGAAACTTGATGACTGTTTCCTGGTACTTGAAGGCCATGTTCTCAGTGTAATCATTAGTCGGTGTCCCAGTTTTCCGCTGACAGTCCGAGAGCCATGGCAATGCATTTCCCATCTCCTGTAAGGAAGAGAGAGAGAGAGAGAGAGAGAGAGAGACTCTGAGACTGCACAGTCAAGTAAACAGTGGCCAAACCCATGTCAACTGTCTATTTTGGGAGGGGAAAACATTTAAGTATGTAATTAAAGATGATCCAGGGAGGTGAGGAAGGAGCCAAAGAGGGACAGCACACGCTCTGTGCTATCCTGCCTTCATGCAATGCCCGCAGTCAGACCTAAAGATCATGATAAGGAGGAAGGAAAGCCCCACAATGGGTACCTGCATGGAAGATAAACGCTACTGTCGCTCCTCGTTGTCAGTTCCTCAGAGCAGCTCCTGCTATGAAATGCTAACCACAATGCATCTATGGTTATCGAACCTCTGCTTCAGGCCATTTTATCATGGTGCATTGCTTTTTACGCTTCCTGTCTTCAAGGAGCCCTTTCCATATTGATTCCAGAGCTACAGAACCACAGCACCCCGCCGACGCCCATGAACATGAGCTACACCGCCACTCTGGTGGGGCGCTGGCTATACCTGTTCAGCGCCTCTGTTGCGCCATATGCACCAAACCCACACCAGGGCAACCCCACACATAATGGGGGTGGGGGGGGGATGATGGGGAATAGGCTGGATTTCAGAAAAGCTCACTTGCCATCGCAGAGTTTCTCACTGAGAGCCAAACTACATGTTACACTAACTGCGTGGCATGTAGCTGCAGGTTAGCTTTTTACTTAGTCTTGTGTAAGCATATACAGCTGCATTTTGGATCCGGACAAGTACACACTAGAAGGGGAGGGTTAAATCTCCTGCCCTCCATTTCCGCCCCCCACCCCCCAATTCTCACCCTCCCTGCAATTTGCTTAAAAAAGAAAAAAGCTTCCATCAACACCAACTGGAAATGTTATTTTGCTGCTTCTTTTTTTTAACCTCAGTGAAAAGGGGGGAATAGTAGTGGGGTTATGGAATGAACCCCCACCAAGTGAGTAGCGGGCCCAGTGCGACGTGCACACACCCCTTCATTTGAACAAACCAAGAACTACGTTTCAGCTACACTTGGTGTGGTTCACGTAACGTGCAGCCTGGCTCTGAGAAACCTTCAGGAAGCTTCTCCAGGAACTCCTTCATTCCCCAGAGCACACTTTGAAAACCAATTTTTTAGCACAAGGATGGAAGTGGGGGCAGAGGGAGCAAAGAATCCTCTGTCGGTAAAATTTCTGCATGGCCTGAGCATCCCAGAGGGGCCGGGCAAGCCAAAATCAGATCCCTGGCTGACCTGTTCCAAAGCTAGAAAGGGACAAATCAGGTAGATGTGCCTAGGGAATGAGGTGATAGGAGCGTGAGCTAAGAATGAGCCAGGCAAGGGATGCAGGCCAGCCTGGAAAGAAGAGAGGGAAGGAAAGGTCCAAAGACCACTTTGCCGCTCGAACTCTAGAGCAGCGTCAATTCATTGCATCCTATTCATTGCGTTCTTGTCTAAACGGCTTCAGAAAGTGTGCAACTGAGCAATATATAAACACTGCAAATAGATAAGCCTGAGGTGTGCAGTACTTCAATACCATTTTTTGTTATAAACATCTGCATTCAATTCAGGCCCAATGGGTAAAATACACTGATGTCAAATGGATAGGATTTTAAAATCTTCACCCAGAAAATATCCCTAGAGCTGAGCTGTAACCATGTCAGGTTGGGGTGAGGGTTCACACAACTAAATACTCCGCCAAAGCAAACTGTCTATCTACACACAGGAAACCAGATATTGTAAACATAGCCAACATACCAGTTTTTTAAAAATGAGAGCCTGTGAGTCCCCATATAGTCTGAAGTGACACAGCTGGCACACAACAACACTACCTCCGAGAAAGCAAGGCATTTAGCCTTCCAACCCTGCTCATAGACACTACTTTTGTGGCAAATTTTCTTAGCTATTCCAGCAAACTGTCACAAGACTTTCACAGCTCTTACGAGCACAACACATGCATGGAAGAGATTGCGGGCTGGGGAGCCGAAGACCGGATCGCAGCAGTTTTCTCTTCATGATGTTAAGAACTGCCTGATCAGAGGCTAGATTTTGAGTCTGATTGCTTCCTGCGATGTATTTTTTAAATGCATGAGCACAAATTGGCCTGCAGTAGGCAGGAAGGGAGCTGAAGACAGATCTGCCAAATAAGTGGGCATCAAGATGCACCAATACATACACTCAGACCTCGGGAATTAAGAAAGACCAATTGCGAGATCTAAGGAACATTATCTATGGAGGGCAAACCAATACCATTCTGCCAGTTCCTATCTTGCATGATGCCTGCTCACATATCCTGTACTTCTGGCCAACAAACTGGTAGTACATACCGACTGATTATTGTTATTTAAGCCGTTAATAACCCTACCATCCTCAAACCCCATAATGGTCTGCAAGACGAACAATCCCGCCCCCCGCCCCCCGAGATGTTGCAAATGAAGCTGCTGCATGAACACAGTGAATGATGAGCATATTCAGATTATTCATATGTTTGTTTTCAAGCTTTCACTCCTGTCAGATTGACAGGATAGTAAAATCTTTACTCAGAAAAGGTTCCCACAAACATATATTCAGCTCTTGCATGCATATGAAGCCACGGGCACGCCCTTGAACTAAAGAGGTATTTGTTGTACCCTTCCACCCATAACTATCTGTTATATGCCGGAAAGTGTTAATTAATGCAATTGATCAATGAGATTGTTGGGTTAATGTGCAAAACTTAAGATCAACCAGGAGTCCCAGGGGTATGTGGAACAACTGTTTGATAGATTTTATGCATCCCTTTGACGAGCTTTGTGCATTTTTAATTCTTCCAGGACTAGCACATTCAGGCAGCCGCTGTCTTTTGTTGCAGGAAACACAAATTCTCAAATTCACACAAAACAGTTTTCCACCATCCATTCATTCTCTGCTGTGCACACTGCATCCAGTAGGGAAGAGCGATCAAAGGAAGATGCCAGACTAGCAGAAGAATTATTTGATATACTTCCAGTCCGGATATTGCAGCTTCTGCCATATGATTTACATGCTGCTTTTTGCTTCATATGATGCAGTTCATATGTGGCTTTGTCCTGTCCCTGGCTGTCTTAATTTTGAGTCAGTGAGTGTTTGAAATTCCTGCTCCCCATCATCCAGTGTTTCAAACATAGGTTCTTGGCACCTCTGCATATGGACATTCATTATCATCATCCATTTGATTCCTTGGTGCTCTGCTCTAGTGATTAATCCCAAATCAACAAATTCTCTTTGCTTTAATTTTTAAACCAGGGAGCTTCATGTCAGTTTGGAAGTATATACCTGGGCCAATTAAAGAGTTAATCATTTCATAATCCATATTGATGGCTATGCATATCAAACGTGACTTTAGCAAAGCTTTCAACGTAGTGCCACACAACATCACTGATAAGCAAAAGCTGGACAAGATGGAAAAACTATTAGATGGATCAAAAATTGGCTGCTAAATCGGACACGAAGAGTGTTCATCAATGGCACCTTCTCAAATTGGATGGAGATAACTAGTGGGGTGCCACAGGGTTCAGTCCTGGGCCCAGTGCTCTTCAACATCTTTATTAATTTCTTAGATGAGGAAGTACACAGAAAGGTAATCAGATTTGCAGACAAAACAAAACTGGGTGGAATAGCAAACACCCCAGAAGACAGAATGAAGATCCAGGGTGATCTTGATAAACTTGAACACTGGGCTCAAAGCAAAAGAATGAGATTCAATAAGGACAAGTGCCAAGTTCTCCACCTATGAAAAAGAAACCAAATGCATCGATACAAGATGGAGAATACGTGGTTCAACAGAACTGAAAAAGAGAAAGATCTCAGAGTAATTGTGGACAATATGCTAAATATGAGCCAGCAATGTAATGCAGCCACCAAAAGGGCAAATGCTATTTTGGGATGCATTAACAGAAGTATAACTTCCAAATCACGAGATGTAGTAGTTCCTCTATATTCCTCACTAGTCAGACCTCATCTGGAATATTGTGTCCAGTTCTGGGCATCAAGATTTAAGAAAGTTATAGGAAAAATAGAAAGGGTCCAGAGGAGGGCAACAAAAATGATCCAGGGTTTGGAAACACTGCCCTATGAGGAGACTGTGGGAACTGGGCATGTTCAGCCTTGAGAAGGGAAGACTGAGGGGGGACATGATCTCCCTCTGTAAGTACCTCAAAGGCTGTCACAAAGAGGAAGGTCAAGATCTCTTCTTGCTGATGCCAGAGTGTAAGACACTGAATAATCAATTCAAGTTGCGATAACCCAGATTCATACTGAAAAGCTTCCCCACTCTCAGAGCAATACGACAGTGGAACCAGCTGCCTAGAGAGGTGGTGGGCTCTCCCACACTGGAGATATTCAAGAAGAAACTGGACAGCCACCTGAGTGGGATGGTGTGACTTGGTGTCTTGCAACAGCAGGGGGTTGGACTCGATGGCCTCCATGGTCCCTTCCAACTCTACGATTCTATGATTCTAAGAAAACATGTCCTGTATTCTAACACCTCAGTTCCAAGTGTTGTGCTTTATTTTCTCCAGAGGAATTTGTATATAACTACTGTAGTCTAGTAATTCTTTGCAGAGGACCCCAAATGTACAGCTCCCACATTGAAAAAGGGCTTTTTCATATGTCAATGGAAGATGGAGCTCCATCAGCCCAAAGCTCCCTGTGCCAAAAGGGGGCTCCTGCTCAAGCAAAATGTAAGTTGCTTTTAACTCGCCATCAATCCCTTGACTTGTTTTTCTCTAGTTTGGCAATATATTTTGACTGCTTATGTTGTGTCAGTTTATTGTTTTTTATTATTTATTAAATTTCTACCCCACCCAGTAACCACGGTGACTAATGGTTTTTTGCAACTTCACTTGGAAGTTCACACACACTGCTCCTTTTACACCGAAGCCAAAAAATTCTGCCCCATTTCTCGCATGGGAACCCAGCTTCAGGCAACTCTGGCAGCGACTGGCGGAAGCAAAAGAGCAAGCAAAACTTGCATCTTCTGGTTGCATTTCTGAGATAATGTGTAAAACAGGTATTTGCATAAAGCATGGGAAACACAGCTGTCTCGCTCTTCCTGGTCGCGAACGAATCTGTTGGGGATGGAAGAGGCGATTATTCTTGGTGCGCTTTCCAGACTCTTCAGACAAGGATGTAGAGGCTTGGGAAAAGAAGTCTGCGGACATGGAGATGGTAGAGGAAGGAGAACTTACCTCCAGCCTGCCATCTCCAGATGTTCAGGCCAACTCTGAGAACTGACAGGGTTTGGAAGTGCTGGGAGGGGACAGGGAGAGGAGCAAGAAGAACCTGGCCCCATCCCTGACCAGTGGAGTGGCAGCAGGAGAGAAGGGCTAGCCAGCTAGAGGGCCTGTGTAGATCCAGGAGGCTAGGTCGTCACAGGGCACACCCGGAGGGGTGGGGCTCAGGGTTATGGCAAAGGAGGGTTCTCAGAAATAGATTCTAGTTTAGGTTCAACAAACCCCGCTGGGCATGCTCCAAGGCTCACCCTTTGGTGGCTACTAATTTGCTCGCCATACTTTGGAAATACAGTACTTTTTGCCAGTAATGCAGTCAGTGCAAGCTTCAGTCTGGCGTGGGTGAATGGCTTCTACAGCCCTTCTTCCCGCCATTTTGGCACCACTTTTGGTCGCCATTTCGAGACCCTGTTTGGTCCTCTTTTTCGACCTTTCTTCAGTAGCTGCTGCCCGGCTTTCCCCTTCTCAGCTGGTGGAGCCCCAGCAGCTGCTCATGGCAGGTGAGAGTTTAAAGTTGCCTGTGAGGAGGAAGGACCAGAGGCAACAGTGCCCTGAAGCACCTCGTCCACGTTCCTAGCCAAAGGCACCCTGCTCAGTTCTTCCTTGCCTGCTTAGTAAAAGCTTGGCAGTGTGGGCAGCAGTCTACCCCATGGTCCTCTCCCAAGCAGAAGGGACAAGGTGAGTGCCCACAGGTGAAGGGTTCTTGGGGCTGCAGCGCACACTTTGGAAACGCCGTTGTGAATGCCCTTGGGAAATTAGAAAGGTGAGTGGGAGAGGAGTGTGGAAGAGAAGGCATTAATGGCAAGTCAGGGAATGTGAGGTAAGAGCGATAAACTAGGTAGGTATGAATGTAGGTAGGTAGGTAGGTAGAAAGATAGATAGGGTAGGGATTTAACAATTAGTGGTTTTATCCTTGTTTTTATCATTATTTTCTGGATGCAGCATGTTGTGTGTTGTTACTGCCAAGGGGGTTTCTTTTGCTTTTGGTTTTTTGTCCTCTATAAGCTGTCCAGAGTCTTTTAGTAATGGAATGGCATAGAAACCCTTTAAATAAATAAATAAACTCTGTCTTGTCTCTGGTCCTGCCCTCCATGGAGGTGCAGTAGTGCAAGAAAGAGACGTCCCCCTAGAAAGTCAGGTTTCACATGCCCTGTAGCCACGGACCCTAAGACTGATCATCAAAGGAAGTAAGTTATCACAATGGTCAAAAAAGCTACCATTTTGCATTCAAATGATGATTCTTCTACCGGGCTGCATCATACAATGACAGCAGAACAAGAACAAGAGCTGATTATTACCTGGCCGTCTTCACGTTTTTTCCCGTTTTCTGTTTTTGAAATGGATGTGGGCTTTCTGGATTTTAAGTTCCCCATTCCAACCCTTAGTGTGCCATCACAGGGTGTCGGGGTGTCTTGGAACACTGCCTGGTTTTCCTCTAAGACTACAGCTTTGTCTGGGTGGTTTTCCTTGTTTTCATCTCTAGAAGGAAATAAAAGTACATTTTAAAGGCACTGTGAAGAATTTCAAATCAGCAAAAGAAGGAGCAGAGCTCTAATGCTCAAAGCATCATGCCCATGATTCAGTTGTAGAGTTCCTTTTTTATTTAGAGCTATAGTAAGTCCCCGTTTTTCCTCAATTTTAATTAACATTCTATGCCAGAACTGTGGGCAGTATAATATTTTTAAAGATATAAAAATATCACCTCAAAGCTGAAAGTGTCATGTTTTCTAAATCAGATTATACATCATGACTGCATAATTGAAGAAGTGATCTTCTTCCAACTGGGCCAGGGTTGTCTCATCGAGGGGTGGACAACATTCAGTCCTCCGGCAGTTTTGGCCCACCACTCCCATCAGCCGTAAGTAGAATAGCCAGTTGTGGGAGATGGTTGATTTATTAATGCAATATGCATCCCACCTTCCTCCCGAAAACAGTGTTCAACATGGCTAATAATAATATACAGATAAAACTAAAATCTTAATTAAAACATTGCACGAAATCAAATATGTTGAAAAATGGTTGCAAACACAGTGGCAAAAGAAGTTAATAGTACTCAGCCAATTAAAAAGCCCACTCAGCAACAAGCTAGTGTATGCCAAAGGCTTGCATGAAGAAAAATGCATTTACGGGGACAACAAAGGGAAACGAAGCATGGACCATCCTTGCCTCCTTTGGCAGAGGATTTCAGACCACCACTGAGAAAGCCCTCTGAGATGTGAGTTACAGGCCAGACCATGTGGAAGGCCCCAAGCAGACCATTCAGAGACTTGGGCAGATGGTATTTCCCATTACCTACCATCTGATGCTTTTGCCTGGAGCTGCCAGGGATTCAGCATGTAAATTTCTGCCACTGAACATTGGTTCTTCTACTTCATGCCTCACCAAGCCAAACACAACCTATCACCCAAGTGTGGTAGCCACCAGGTGCTTACTAAACCTTCTGGTCATGCAAGCTGCCCAAGACCACAAAAACACTGCAGTGATCTAGCAGGCCATAAGAACACCTCTTTAGGCTTGGTTTAATGGCTCCAACTGGCACAGGCCCTGTTACAGGGCTTTCCAAGGTTATGCCTTCCATTAATGGGAGGCACATGGCTCCACCAGCTTTTGGGGGATCCACCCTTCCAAATGCAGCATATTTGACCCCATTTCATAAGGCCCCTGACCCGCTGGTCCCATTTGCTGTGGAAAACAGGTGGGAATGGAGTCCTCTTCCACCAGCACAACTGCACATGCCCAAATCTAGAATGCATCCACTTCCATCCCACTCTTATTCCACAAAACAGCATCCCAAGGAGTCTCTCATCCAGGCAGCCACCATGCTAAGACTTACTGAGCTTTCACAACATAACAGCATCACATGACTACAAAGTATTCCCAGAGAAATAAAGAATAGTTCAAGGAGACATCTTGTGGAAGCATCATCTGCCTACACAAACGCCTTCCTCCCCAATTCTAATTCTACTCCAGTAAAAAAGAAGAAGCACTTCAGAGAAGAGGTTAAAAGAGGACACAGAGTTGTGTAAAAATGTGCATATGCTTGTTTATACGCAGACTTGCAAATTTATAAACAACTGTTATAATCTAAGTTGAAGTATGAGGCATGTCACCACAGTGAAGGAAAAACAGGTCATAGGACCCATGCACCTCTGTCCAGGTGTGAACTCTTCATGGGCAGTTCCAAAGCCCTGCATTTTGCAACAGGCATGGACCATAGGGCCCTTCCGAGAGAAGACTGTTCTTTGACATCCCTTCAATCTGCCATCTTACCTAAAACTTCCAGACCTATCTAACTAAGCTCTAATTACCTTCCTTTGCAGAATCTTGTACTTTTTCTTTCGTCTTCATGTTTCACTTGGGATGTACAAAATTCATTTGTCGGATTTTACAAGTCATACTGGAATATTCCGCATCCCTTCTAATCTTTCAAGTTTCCTTACCTGAGCCAGAACTTTAAAATTTGCTGCATGTTTTGCAGAGTGCAGCAGATAACAACAGGTCTAATACTATATTATTAGAATCTAGTTTTATGCTAGCGATTATTGCCATTGTCATCCTACATACGCTAGCCCCTGGCCTCAGATGCCCTACGCCCAAGATCGCACTCAGTCTTGGTAATTCAGGGCGCAGTCCTATGGCCGAAAGATGCTTCCTAGACAGCCACAAGAAAATCCAGCCCCCCAGCCCCCACTGTGGTAATATGTTCTGATGTCAGAGACTAGGCTATGAATCTGGAGAGCCCTCTCTCTGCTCTGGCAGCTGGCACAGTTCTTTCCGAACTGGGTATGTCTCCAAGGTTGCAAATGCACCTGCAGAGCTGGTACTGGGGGGGGGCATTTGGGGGTGGGAAGGGGTGGAATGAGGCTCCCCTGGGATGCAAGGACCCCTTGCTAATTTGGCCTGTGAATGTTGCTTTTGGGGGGAAAGTTTTTTTAAAGAAAAGAAAAAGAGGAATTTTTCCAAAGATTGGCTTGCTCCATTTTTATTTTTCATAAAATGCAATTGCAAGATACCTGGGAATTGAACTGATTGTTTGGTCCTCAGGAACAGACTCCACATCCTCACCACACCTTGAAAATGGATATAGAATAATTATTGCTGTTCTGGCAAGTTTCTGATGATCAGGTACTTCACCTTTCAGGTGACCAACATGCATACCTTTAGGACACAAACGTTGCCTAATAAACAAAAAGGGCTTTTCATAAGGTCATGGAATTGTTTTCAGTTCATCCAAATGGACAACAGTTTCTTCCTATACCAGCACTCTTACTACGCCATCCAAAGGAAGAAAATCCAGCACCCAATCCTGTGCCTCTCTCGAGGTTTGTCTGCAAGGGAGTTACTTTTGTCTCATGGTGTATGAACTCGCAGGCATTGTAAAATTAGATGTACCCAAGTAAACTCCCCAGGGAATGAAGGGTCTGGGCATAAGTCTTCATACTAATTTCTCCCCACTGCCAGCCATCTAAACCAGGAACTAAATTAAATCCCTATTGGAGGAGTATGGGAAATCTCTAAATATTGCTTGGTGAACATGTACTGTGCCTGGCAGGGTGAGGAAGCCTGACTAAAAAAAGCCTAAAAGACGCCTGGAACAAAGCCATGGCGCTAGAGCTCAAGGCACTGGTATTCTGTCGCTGCTGTTTATTTTGTTTCTCTACTGTCCCATAGCAGACATTCTCTGGGTGATTTACAACAATCCATAAAAACAAGACAAGACGATAAAAATAACCTGCAATTCTAGCAAACGAGGCTCTCTTCTTAAATATTTCTTCTTCATTCAGAAATAACCAGACAGGTTAAAATCTGATACCTCTGATGCTTGGCACAGTTCCTGGCATAGTATGCAACCTACCCAGTAAGTCTAAAACAGCCCATGGGTTGTTCGTCAAACATACTGCTGCTAAGCATGCAGTATCAATTAACCTATGGTGGCTTAATGTGATATAGAAACAGACCCTCTGAAATGTAATCCGTCCATTGCCCCAAACATCCTGGATCTTAAAAAGCTTGATAGACATTCTGTTATCTAACATTCAAATTTAGGGATGGGCAAATCTGTCCTTTTGCTGTGTTCACACCTGTACAGCATTGTGCCCAATTTCCTCTAAGTGTGCAAGAAAATATGTACATATTTTATGTGCCCTTCTTCTAATATATGCATTTTGGAAGCACTTTTCCTTCATGGACTGATTTTTAAATATCCTCCCCCATAAATGCCTGTATGCACACTTTCCCCAAATAGACACAATTTGCATGCATAGTTTGTTCCAAGAACTGCATCACAAAATTTTGAAAATGCAAATACCACAACTGCATCCTGGTTTGCATACTGATTCAAGAAATGAAAATTGGATACATCCTTAGGAAAATCAAAGTGAAGGGCATTCACAGTCAAAACTAGGGACATGATAGCTACTTCTTAATAGCGACTGTTCAAAGATAAACTAAAGTAAACACGAGACAGAAGGCTGAGGTGCAGCGATACTGTTGTTCCATCATTAAGTTGAAAATCTGGTTATCATCTTGCCTTCTTCTGAGCGCGTCCATTTTATTCCCCCTGCATCATGCTTCTAAATACACCATTCCAAGCGCCAGCCAGCATTCCATAGCCACAGGGACTGATTAGGAGTTTAAAAAAAATCTATCAGAGGAAGAGCACCATGAAGATCCCCTAAAGATTAGTTTCCCCCAAGCTTGCTGCTCTCTCCCTCCTGTGAATGTCATTTGGTATTTGGGAGAATTAAGATCACTATTTATAAATACAAGGCAGACCTGCAAGAAAAGCATGCAGTGTGAAATGCACCTATGCCTAAACACGCACACGCCAACTTCAAGCTGGGCATTGGCTACCCTGGTCCAAGAACGCAGAGAAGCCAAAAATGGAAAACAACGAACCCATGAGAGTCCATTTAAACAAATGTTGCCAATAGAAATTCTTCCCCTGGGCCTTGATCTTCAGTAGCTTTGTAATTAATTTTTATGATTTCCTCCTCCAATACAGCAGCTACTCAGCCTGGGTTATCAGTGTCATCAGCATGCTGATGACTCCGCAGCCCAAACCTCCCAGCGGTTTCATGTAGATGTTAAATAGCAAGGGGGACAAAACGGAGCCCTGTGGCACTCCATGGCAGAGTTGCCATGGCGCAGAGCCAAAGTCCCCCAGCACCACCCTCTGCTCTAAACAAAAAGGAGCTACCTTCCTGCAACATGCAAAGCCCGGGAGCTCCAGGTGAATATGCAGCCATCCTGACTGCCAAGTAGCTACCCGAATGAAGCAAGCCACGAGGGAACCCTGATAGCCCTGATGGGATAAGCTGATAGTCCGGGACATTGTATTAAGGTATTTCAAGACAAGCACTAACAGTCACACATTTAACTTGCTTCTGTTCCTTGCTCCACTGCCCTATTTTCTCTTGCCTCTCTCTAGTCCCTTCCCTCTCCCTTTTGCTATTTTCCTCCCAACATTCAAGGCAAGAGGAGAAAGCTAGTTCTAGAGTTCTCTGTTCTAAACAGTTTGAATGCAGGGCTCCAGGGCCCCTCATAACCTAACACAGCCACGCCAGCCAGCTTTATGAACACAGACGATGACCAAGAGTTTAACCCTCATAAGTCAGTCAGTGATGACACATGGTGTTAACACTAACCGGTTACAAACTCTTGCAGATATCCTCAGCCCTCTGCATCTTGTTGGAATTGAAATGGATTTAATTGGCGCTGTTGCCACTTGCTTTATCCCAGATATTCAACGCTGTGAAGGTGCAAAGGTTTGGTTTTGTTTGCTGGTTTGGTTCTATGGGTGATGTAAGCAAAAACGAACGGGGACCTGTTTACTGCATGGCCACCCCCTTTGCAAGGACATGCTTAACTAAGTCCCGGGGCAGCTTGCTGCCTCCAGAATCACATCCCCCAAGTAACTGAATGAAATCCATCTGTGTGCAATTCCTGTGCCACATGATTTCAGATTAAATCCGGAGTTGGTTGGAGAACATATCTAAACAAACAGCCCCAGGAAATCCAAGCAGCTATCAAAACAACTCCAGGATAGAGTTGCGCAAAAGAACCAATTGGAATCTGGTTATAAAAACAGTATCCCAAACTATTAATATACCCCAGAGCACCATTTAAACTATTATTACAAAGAATATGACTTATCCATGGCTCTGTCCATAGAAGGCCATCCGTTAAAACACAGGGACTCTCGAGTGTGGGGTAAGACTAATTCTTTTAGTAAGTTTTCGAAAAACAGTGGCACTGTGTCTGCAGGCATAACAGTCCCAAAATACAGAAGGGCCATTGCATTTTGAAGGCTTAATGTACGCCTTCACGTTACTCGAAGGCTGTTTCAGAGGAGTTCCACTACAGAATTGTTTACGCCCAAGTGGTGACAGTGTTGCAAAACTTGCCCGTGTGCTACTAGTTTGCTCGTTTTACAGAGAGATGCATACAGAGTTCATTTGTCCCTCGCTAGTTCAGAAGCCAGGTGGTTCGTCTGACTTCTACGTATCTTTTCTTGCAGGATAAACAGGTGATGGCACCGGCAGTTACATTTTTAGCAGCAGCAACTAATATCAGGTCAAATATGATTTTTAAATTGTAGTTTTTACAGACTCACTTGCTTAAATGTTGGCATTGCTGTGTATGCATATATACCTAATGTATATGTGTTATCTTTATGATCTTACTATGCTGATTTTATATTTTGTAATATTTAAGGAAAGACATATGGCTACTGCATATGAAGGAGTGTTTTGTTGCTAAAAACATCTTAGGGACTGGGTAAGGAGGGCATTTACTACAGAAGCCAGTGGTAACTCTCTCTGAAGGAGCTGAAGATGGGAGAAGCCATTCATGGGATGCTTGTCACTCCACAAAGTCAAGCTTCATGAAAGAATGGTAAGAAAGCTACTGCTGAAACTAACCCATTTCGAAGCCCATTAGGAGTTGGCCAAAAAAGCCCTAAACGGCTTGGGTCCTGGCTACCTGAACGAGCGCTTACGTCCGTATATGCCCGACCGCCCTTTGAGATCTGCGGGAGAGTCCCTTCTCCGGGAACCCTCCATGAAAGAAATTAGGAGAGTAAGTACCTGGAGGAGGGCTTTCTCTGCGGTGGCGCCCAACCTATGGAATTCACTCCCCAAAGAGGTCTGCCTGGCACCGTCGTTACTGGTTTTTCGGCGCCAGGTAAAGACCTTTTTATTTAAACATCATTTCAATTGTTAAAACATATGATCTGGCCTGGGCAACTTCTTCTTCCTTCTCTTTCTCATCCTATATTTTTATTTTATACTGATAATTTTAATTTTGTATTTGTAAATCAATGTATTTTTTGTATTTTTATATTTAATGGTAATTTATTATGTACTATTGTATTTCAATGTATTTTATCATGTTGTAAGCCGCCCCGAGGTTTCGGCAAGGGGCGGCATAGAAATGTTATAATAATAATAATAATAATAATAATAAAAGGCAAGCATCATAGAAAGTATGAACTGGGCAAAACAACTAAGCTGTGAACAAGGAAGCAAAGCTGACTGGTTTGTACTCAACTTTCCCCCATCTGTTGCTTGGGGACAGCTCACCAGGACATTGTAACCATAGAGAATTCTTCTGAACGTCTACTCAGAACCAAGCTTCATTGAGCTGGGGCTTACTCCCAGTGTGCATAGGATAGCAGCCTAAAGTTGACTGATCTACAGAATGCACCAATGCTCAACATTTATTTATTTATTTAAAACATTTCTATGCCGCTCCCATCGCAACAAAGCCTCGGGGTGGCTCACAACAAAAACAAAACAAACAAATTCATCCAAAAATTATACACTAAAAATATTAAAACCCGGTACATCTCGGCTTAATTTTTTTAAAAAAAATCTACATAATAAATTAACACTTAAGTTTTAAATAAAAAGGTCTTAGCCTGGCGCCGAAAAACAAGTAACGACGGCGCCAGGCGGACCTCTCTGGGGAGCGCATTCCATAGGTGGGGCGCCACCGCAGAGAAAGCCCTCCTCCGGGTACTCACCCTCCTAATATCATTCACGGAGGGCTCCCAGAGAAGGGCATCTGTTGCTGATCTCCAGGGGCGGGAGGGCATTCTGAAGTGTGTGTGTGTGGTGGTTTAGGAAATTATGCTAATCTCAAGCTTATCGGCCAAAAGGGCAACAAAAACACAAAAAACCCAGCAGGCATGTCAAGGAGTGGGAAATGCACTGTGGGTGGGAAGCAGTACTTTTCCCTTGTTCCCTGATCCAGACAAAAATCACCCCGCTTCGAAAATAGCTGCTCACCAATGGAAGCCTTCCTCCTGGTACAGGTAACAGCTTCAGGGAGGGCGGGGCCGATGCTTATGGGTCCTTAGCAGAGAGGGAAAGGGTTAAACCCAATCTCATGATTCAGATCCTGCCCTGCACTTGAGTTTAGGGGCTTAAAAATAATTCCTGTTAAATGGAAACACGCATCTGACAAAATGTTTAGTTTCAGTTGTGCAAAGTGGGTATGCAAACTTCATACCCTTGAATGGTCTTGTTTGGGTTCACATATGCACTTTTCTATGACAGCCAAATAACTCGGGTTTTTGGATCTCTGTTGTACTTTAAAACATGATGGCCAAAGCAACGGCAATTGCTGTTGAGGGGTGGAGTGTAACCCTTCCCCCAGGTTTTCCTGATCCATACAGCTGCCGCTTGCTCTGCCGAAAAGAACTTACAAGGAGATGGATTTTTTTCCTACAATGAGGCCAACAGCAGCATCAGGAGGGTGCTATAGATTTGGAAAAGGGTGAAACAGGTTAAAGCCCCCATCATCACAATCGCTCCAAAATCCAGATAGGTCTGTGGCTGGTTTTAAGGAGACATGACAATGACAGATTTCCTGCAGGCCTAAACCTGTGCAGAATTGCTTTCCGGAGCTGCCTAAATGTGTTTTCTTTTTGACTGTGATGTCTGAGCAATTTTTTAAGGAGGAAAGGGCAGGCCAGTGCAACCACAGAAAGGAGGTGAAAGTAAAGATGGTTGATGCAGGCATGGTGTTTGGATCAGGACATATCGCCCTCTGAGCCTGGAGGTTTCATTTAACCCATCCTCCGGGAAGTTGTCTAGCCTTTTAAAAAAGCATCTACAGAAGCACAGCATCACTTTCTGATGGTACCAGAATCTGTTCTTTTGATCTCTGAGAAGTTAGAAGAGCATGTTTGAAATTTGGCCCATCAGGCAGTCAGAAGGTAATGGAGCAATATGTGGATTTAACACCCAGAGTTCAGGTCCACCTTTGGCTTCGAGAAAGTTTCCCTCTAGCCCAAGGTTTTGTTTCTAAAAAGTGAGTATGCAGGGCTAAACAAGAAGTGTACAGGCTCTCCCACTTTTTTAAAAGTTCAAAGCAATCACTATGAGGAATAGGAGAATCATGTTTTTACAGTTGTTATTTACATTTTGATGTCACCGGTTGCAAACACTTTCTGGGTGGTTCATGACATGTAAGTCACCCATCCCAGATTTCAACCTGGCCCAACCCTGCTTAGCTTCCAAGAACAGGAAAAATCAGGCACTTCGGGCTATATGGAAACTACACAGCCACAATACTGGGGGACAAACATACAGGTTACCTGTATGTGTAAAAGCTGAGGTGAGTGCTAGATTGGCATTCTGGATTTTAGTCCCCAGGTGGTCTTTCACCATCTTTCATTTGGTGTTTCTGGGCCACTCACACACTCTCAGGCTAACCTACCACACAGGGGCATGGTTTTGAGGATAACAACACGGAGAGGAGGAAAACCTTGGTAGACACCTTGCGTTCTTTGCATGAGTAAGAAAGGTGGGTTGTAGATGCGATGCAATAGTGTACATCTTTACATTTTTCCATAAGGACAAACAGTGGCTGAGTGGGAGAGATTTTAATTAAAAATGGGCACAGGGGAAAGTGTTATTCCCCCTTCCCAGCATTACATTCTGGACAGCATTTCTATCCTGCACTCAAACCAAATGCAGAAGAACCTCTTCACATCTCTCATATCAAGTCTATTTTAGTTCTCTGTCAAAGTCTTCAGGAAAGTTTGCAGACAGGACATAGAAACAGAGAAACAGAGCAAGTCAGAAGGGGCCTGCTGGGCCATCTAGTCTGACCCCGGCTCCAGCCAGCTCTGCTCAGGACATGCCCACCATGTGCATGTCCAGCCTGTCCTTGGCATGGCCTGCCTTGTCTCCATCCTCCTGTATCCAGGGATGCATCAAGGACCCATTGGCTGTTATGGCGAACACAGCAGGTGTGCAAGGCCAGAGCTAGGGAGGGACAGAGACAAGGAGAAGAATGGCAGAAGCGACCTGATGAATGGGGCTCGTAACACCCCACTTTTTGGTCACCTGCTATTCAAGCTAAGCACTGATCTTAGCAGGGAAAAATGCATCCATTGTCCAACTTCTTGGTGGATTTGTTCTCAGAACAACCATTGCAAGCTACTGCATTGTTGTTTTGATTATTCCTCTCTCCATTTCAGCAGTGGAAAATGTACTTCATGCCTGTTTACTACTTCCCTTCTGCCAGCCTTGGGGAACCCTCCTATTTTCTAGCTCCATGAATACAGCTGGGGTGTGGGGAGAACGAGGTTAACATAAACCATCATACTTCAAGGCAGGACATGATATTCGTTCTGGTAAGCCACAAATGCAACTCACAACCTTAAATTAAAAAAAAAAAAAAAAAACCTGCACCTTGGAAAAAAGCAGCACCAAGTGGCTGTAAAAAAGCAATTTAGAAAATAAGGTCGGATGCCATTCTCACATTTTTTAAAAAAATACCATTTTGAGTGTGCATTAAATTCCAAAGAGTGGGGAGGAATGAAACACGATCTGCTGGGCATTTTTGCTAAGACTAAGCGCCACGAGTGGGTTCTCACCCCCCCCCCGCGCGCCGTGGCTCGCGTGCTTTTACAAACCCAAAGGACTTGCTCATTAGCATGACGCGTATCTGCGTTCGCACGCCGAGTTTTCCCATGAGATGCGCCCTAAACATCCCCTCTCCCAACCGCACCGCCGCGGCGCCGTGCAGGGGAGAAGGCAGCGGGGCTCGCCCCGCAATCCGGAGCGGTGCTGAGACACAGACCCCCTCCCGCACCCAGCTGTCCAGAGCGCAGCTCCCAGCATGGAGAGCTGCGCCTCGCGTCGTGTTGCACGCCTGGACAACTGCAGGGGGAGGCGCGGTTGTTGTTGCTTCGGAGAAGAGGCGCAACGGACGGTTTTTGGAAAAGAAGAAAGGAGGGAGAGGAGGAGAGAGGGGAGGGGGGACACGACAGCCAGCAACCGCCGGCGCTCTCCGCGTCTCAGCTCCGCTTGCAGCGCGCAGCATCGCAATCCATAATGGAGTGAGTGGCAGGAAAGCAGAGGAGCACTTACTCTGGCAAAGCGGGGCCGCCGAAGGAGTGGTTCTGGATGCTGAAGCAGAAGCAGGAAAACATCGGAGCCGCGATCACGACGCCGCGCAGGTTCCGCGGTCTCCCCGAACCGTTTGCAGCCGCGGCCACACGGAGAGAGACATGGCACGGAAAACGTCAGGAGAGCGCTGAGGGCTGCGTGCGCGCGCTCGTGCTCGCTCCACGGGCACAAGCCCGTATCCTGGCCCCTTCTGCACATGCTCGCCAGCGAAGGACCCTCCTGGGATTTGGGCACGCTCGAAACCACAACGCCCATGAGGCTTTGCAGCCGTGTGAATGAACCTGGAGGAAGCGGCGCGGCCGGGCAAGCGGGCGCCGCTGGCGTCCCCGGGCGCGCTTCATCCGGCCGGGGCGGGGGTCGCTCCCCGTGCGTCCGAGCGCCTGGCGTCGTCGTCGCGAAGGCGCGGAGCGCTCCGCCTTTGCGCGCGTTGTAGGGGCCGGGATGGGCGCTGCTCCGGCGAATGAGTCGTCTTTGGAGAGTCCCTTCGCAGGTGCCGGGCTGCGCGCGCGGCCTCCCGGGAGGAGCCGCGACGGGGAGGGCGTGGGGCCGGGGGACCCCCAGGGCCCGACCCATGGAGAATCGGCCGGAGGGACGAGTTAGCGCTTCTGCTTCTGCCGCCGCCTCCGCCCCTCCCGGCGAACGATTCCAGGGCTAGGCAACCAAGGCGGAGGATTAGTCCTCGCCTCCCTTGATTTTTGTGTTTTTCCTTTTTCTTTTAGCAAAGGCGTTCTGCACAAATCGAGTGCTTAGAAGCAAAACGAGATGGGGGCGCCGAACGTACGATGCGCCGTGGAAAGCCTCGAGTCGTGCACCTGCGGAGAATAATGAGCCTAGGCAGGGCACCTGGCTCTAACAAAGAAATCTGGAGCAAAGGGGACGAAGAGGACGGACTTGCGCAGTATCCTCTTCGCAGAGGCGCGCCTTGGGCGTTCTTGTGCTGGTTCCTCCGGCGGCATCGCTGTTTATACGAAAGGAGCGTTCAAGACCTTGGACGCGTCCTCACATTTTTAATGCTGCGTTCAATGCATTACTGCATTTTTTTCATGTTTTGAAGTTTTTCAGAACCATCTTGGTTGGCCCCACAAAAGCAGGTCAGAGGTTCAATCTCTCTGTCAAAGCACATCTCCATTTCCCTCTTAGGATGCATGGTTATTTATCCAGTGCAGGAGCTGCTGACGTTCTCGGGTCAAAACACCTAATAAAAACAGATACAAAACAGATACAACGTGAGAGCAAGTTAAGGGTGAAATCTTATGCCTGTTCAGACAAAGTATAACCAGCCATCTTTATAAAACTTTGTCTACATAGGCTCTAAAAGATTTTAAAAATGCAGGACTATGTTATGAATAAAAGCCTGCAGTTGAATAGGTTTTAAAGGCTAAGTAGATGAAAATGTTCTGCCTGTCACTGAAGTGCCATTAAAGTAAATGTCAAGTGAATCTGTCCAGTGGGGGGATTCTCCAGTTTGGGGGCTGCTTCAGAAAAGAGTTCCCATTCATGGGGAACTTGGCATCAAATCCCCATATGGCAGTTGGAGCGAGGAACATCTGGGGAGGGACTGTTCTCAAGCCATGAAGAGCTTTATAGGCCCAACTCCACACCTTGAATTGGACTGGAAATGAACTCAGAGCCAGTGGAGGTGGTGTAATGCTCTTATAACGTGATTGGTCTTCACCTGCCTTATGCTAAACTCAAGGAAACTTTTGGACTGTCTTCAAGGACAGCCTCACATAGAATGTATTACAGTAGTCCAGCCAGGTGGTTCCCAGGACATAGATTACTACAACTGAGCTGTTACTATCCAGGTAGTTCCTAAGCTGGTGTTCCAGACTAATTCAGCAAGGTAAGAAGATGCTTTTGTGTCTCTACTGACAAAGTTGTATCTGCAAAAATCTGCAACTTGTAAACTTGATCCTTTAGGGTTGGTGAACCTGGTTTGGCCTACAAATCCCATCAGCCCCACACAACAAAGCTCATGGTGAGGGATCATGGAAGCTGTAGGTCAAAACATCTAGAAGGCCACAAGTTTCTCGTCCCTGTGAGATCACACTCCTTCACAGAACAGGTTGGACATTTTTCTTCCAGATGGCCAACACACCCAACCAACAATTTTTCCATCTTCTGTATCATCCTTCACTTATAGCAATTTGAGTTAATTCTAAAATACAAAAAAGAATACTTTTCCAGAATTCTTCAACTTTGTTAGAGTAAATATTGGTTCAACGAGGAAGAAATATAAAAAATAGGTAAGGAAAAGCAGAATTATAGATAGAGAGGAGGAAATGAGAAAAATGGTAAGGAGAACTGGAGAATTTTAAGGATAGGATTAAGAGGGGCAAAACTTACAAAGAAGAGGAAGGAACCTAAAACATCTTGGAATAGCAAGTCAGAAACAACAAGGTGGAGAGTCCATAAGGGCGGGCTTGAAACATCACCATATATTCAGAGGGTGGGAAATGTCCGCTCCTCTTCTTGTCACACTGTATGGAATTGTCACCATGTGGAAAGAGGGCACTCGCCTCAGCAACAGGGGTGTCTCCCCCACCCCTGCTTTATCCTTGCCCTCAGTGATGCAGTCAGCCAAATTAGGTGCTGTGAGAATGTGAGCTCCTGGGATTCATGACTGGTTAGGGTCACAAACACAAATGGCACCAAAACAGGAACTGTGGGAGAGGAGAAAAGTGACCAAATCGTTAAATTGTTTCTGATGTTTTTCCCCTAGGGAGTTTCATGCCCGGAAAAGATTCCCTTTTTCTCAAAAATGTTCAAGGATGAGCAATCTGTTTAGCTTTTTTTCCATCCCATGTTGATGCTGCGTAATGCAGTCACAGGTCTAGGAAGAGGTTGTTGAGCAAGAGTTAGTCTTAGCAACGAAATGATGACATGCACAATCTTGGACAATTAAATAGTTGTTGCACTTGTTCAAAGTGAACACAGTTGATACTACAATACGTTCCTTAGAATACAGGAAAAGTTATCTTTGCTAGCTGCTTTTGGACACTTGCTCTCAGCTCTGTGAAGTATGATCAGCACTGATTGTGGTGTGCTCATTAGTCTTTTATGTTCTACAGAGCTTAAATTTTGTCTACTGATGAACGGCCTCCCCTGATCCAATGACACTTGGGTGGGGGAGAGCGGTTCCATTCCTCAATCAATCCAAATCAGATTGAGAAATCACAATATTTGTTATATTCAAGATGACTCTCCTTCCACACACTATAAACCAGTGTGGTGTAGTGGTGAAGAGCATGGGTCTGGGACCTGGGATCCGGTTTCCAGCCCCTGTTCAGCCGTGGAGCCAATTGGGTGGCTGGTCACAGCATCTCAGCCTAACCTACCTCACAGGGTTGTTGTTATGGGGATAAGATTGAGAGGTGAAGGATGGGAATGATGTAAGCCACTTTGTAAGAAGAAAGGTGGGGTGTAATTCTAATAAATACTAAATAAGCCCAAAGCAGAATCATTGCCACACTAAACCCTCTGTTTTCCAGAGAGCTTGTATGCTTACATATATCTCCATACAACCTAAGTTCTCAAACTGAGGTGAGGGCAACTTGGTTGTGATAACGTAGTGCAGCTTTCTTTGCATGATGCCTCCAGAAGATAGGATAGGGTAGCTGGAATCGGTAGGTAGGAGCTGTAGGCCAAATGTTCGTCATTTTCATATTAATGGTCCACAAAACCAAAGTTTAAAGACTCCTGTTGTACAAGCAACAACAGTGTATCTAACCGCCTCAAATTTGGTAGACTTAATTCCCCGAGAAGGGGCAACATGCCTGCTAATTTCATGGAATTCTGTAAAGAAATAAAATATGTATCCTCTTTAAAAATGTTTCATTTTCAAGGCACCTTCATCTAGTTGACAGCTGGTGGACTTCACCCAGAAGGAGCCAGCATACCTAGATTTTTCATCCAATTCTATCAAAAGGTTGTTTGTTTTTCTGGATATAGCCATTTGTGCAATGAGGAAATACAAAACTGAACACACTATCCCAAATGTTCTGAACCAAATGTGTTCTCAACTATATTCCCATTTTGAGGGAGAGAGATAAACTTGTCTTGTTTGAAGAATCACATTCAGAAATGCGGAAACAAGCGAGGTACATTCCGTGTGCTGGGTATCCGAGATTGGGACATATATGGTTGCATTTATATTATAAGAAATGTTTAATTATTGGGCCTGTCTCTTCCCTGGCTGCTTCTGTACATTTTGCCCAGTTTTGCTGCCTGCATTAGCGTTTTACCACCCCATTTCTCAGAACATGCTGTGCTGGAAGAAGCTTGTTTATTTTTGCTGTCCAGGGAAAAAGCCTTGAAAACGCATCTGATTCCGTCTTTTACAATCAAGTCTCTCTCTGAGTACATGTAAAGTGAAGTAAATTTTATTTCACCCAAAGGCAGATTCTCAGCAGGACGTGACCCAGCGGCATATATAAACGCGAATCTAGAACAGCAGGCTAAAAGGCAGTGTACTAAAAATAACCCAGTCTCTCTGCATGTACACAGGGTCTCGGGCCTGTGAGCTTCCTAGCTCGCTTCAATATAAAAAGGAGCATCTGAATCGTGTTCCACTGAAGTGGCTGTGGATGCTACAAGGAAAGCTATTTCACTTTGCTCATTGCCATCTCTAAATCGGTACAGATGGATTGAGCTGCAGTCCTAAGCAAGCTTGAAATCAAGCCCCATTAAACCCGATGAGGCTCAGTTTGGAGTAAATATATATTGGGTTGCATTGTCAGTCACTATGTTATTTTCAGCTTCATCTTGTAACACAGAACATACTTAACTAGCTTCATCTGAAGGCACTCATTATACCTATCAAATACAAAAACAGGCAATACATAGTGTAACAGAAAGTATTCTTAATCCAAGCAAGAATTAGAGCAGTCAGTCCTGAGAGAACAGGCTGCATATCTGCATGTGCCAAAATGCAAGAGAGTTTATCTACAGGCACTGAAAAGTACTAGAAATGCATGTCTCAAAGCCATGACTCACATGTGTGACTACACTTGTTTTCTCAGTATCTTTAAGACCTGAGCTTTGCACCCAGTG